TCTCTCTCTCTCTCTCTCTCTCTCTCTCTCTCTCTCTCTCTCACACACACACACACACACACACACACACACACACACACACACACACAGAGAGACAGAGGGAACTTGTGAGTGAGGGTCGTCCAACACACCCGTGTTCTCCACCCCAATCGTCCGCCGCGTGTGAGGGGCTGATAGCGTGGGACCGACCTCTAGGTGTGTGAGGTGGTGACCTTGGGTGGGACAAAGGGAGAGTGACAGGGATAAACGATGGCACATGCAAAGCTTACCAAGAAGAAGAGCAGGGGGTGGAAGACGACGCATTCATTTCCTGCTTACCTTCGGAAATTGCTGTCCTTATAAAAAAATTGCCGAACAAAAGCGGTGAGGCGACAGCCGCGATGGCGGAAATGTTCCACTGGCGGGCTGACAACGCGCGCTGCGTCAACCGGCAAATCGAACGATTTCTCGGAAACTTCTCCGCAAAGTTTCAGCCTCGACGAGAGACACAGCAAGGGCCGCACATGCCCTCGAGCTTCGGTCTTCTCCGCCCCAAACCTCCCGCCCGATGGAAAGGCGCCAATGGACGAATATGCCCCGCGCCCATGGCTTGCTGCCACGTTCAGACTAACTTTTCAGCACGCACGACTTCGTGCCATCCGATCTGAGAATCTCACGGCCGCACTGTGGCCACGTACGACTTCGTGCCATCCGATCTCAGAATCTCACGGCCGCACTGTGGCCACGTTGGAAAATACTCGTCGAAAACTAAACTAAATTTTGTTTATTTTTTCTTTCCTAAACAAATTAAAAATTCCCATTAGCGGGGCATGGTAGTGATGGCTAACTGGTTGAGATCATTAAAAATATATTGTCACATTGTGAATCAGAGCGCAAAAAAGGGAAAAGAAAAAAGGAAAAGGATAACTGGTTGAGTACGACACGCAGTTTGCCGTACCATGTTCTAGCAGAAGATTCAGGGCCTCGCCACACCACTCTCGAAATGTGAAAACGACAAAAATGTGGCGGGCGCATCTGGCCATGTTATAGCGCGAAGTTCATTGTGGAGCGAGGCCCCGTTTCGTTTCCCTCGGCCACAACTACTGTTTTCGCCCGAATACAACGTACGGTCATTATTGTTGCATCTAGACTCAAAGTTGCATCATTATTCCTGGTCACCCTACTGTCCAAACGGGAAAAGCACGGGCGCACGTTCCCGCAGAGACTTGCCAGATGCATCGGTCATTCGGGGCGAAGTCCCAGTAGCAGCGGGCTTGATTTCGAGCAGGCACTGGTACCTGCCATCCGATCTGAACATCTCACGGCCCACTCGAAAGGGCCTCGCCACACCACTCTCGAATCTCGAAAAAATTCGAGGGCTGTCAGAATCAGAACTTTTCGAGAGGGCGGCTTTCGAGAGAAAAGGGCCCTTCGCCACATAGCACACGCATGTCTGGTAGCTTCCGCAGGTCTGGGGCTGTTCCGTGTCATGTCCCTGGTTCGTGAATGGCTGGCGGAGTGTCCGGGGAACCGGGGAGGCGCATGGGAGCAGCGGCGGATGGACCCACTGAACGAAGCGTCGGTGCCCGTCCAAATGCAGAAATCCTCTAGAACGGTTTGTCTCGCTTTGGGCAGAAGCCTTCCTCATTTTTGCTGCACCGACCCGCAAAGATGGCTTGTATACATTCCTTATCAGGGTGCGGTGACGGTTGCTGGGCAGAAACCTTCCTCATTTTTGCTGCAGAGACCGGCAAAGATGGCTTGTATACATTCGTTATCAGGGCGCGGCCCTGTTCGGGGGGAAGACTGTAGTATGCGCCTGCTGGCGGAGGCTGTGGTCCCACCGCGGGCCAACTGCCTCTCTCGAAGGTGCATTTTCGAGAGTTGCTTTCGAGATTGTGCGGTTCTCCTTCGGCGCACTACCGTCCAAACGATGTCACAGCCATCAGAAAACGGCCAGACAGCTCTCTAAATGGACCACGAACTCTAGCGTCCACGGGCGGTATCACGAAAAACCCGAAGCTGCAGGCTGGGCGAAAACATCGTTTCGAGAAGGCCCTTGAAACCCGCCTTCTGGGGCGGGATGGGAGCGCTTCGTGGAAGGGCTGCGTTACCGATGATAGCGCCGTCCGGAAACGACGGCGCTCTGCGTCGGCAGCAAGGCGCGGATTACGGGGTGTGGGATGGAGCTATGGAGTACTCGGTACTCCCGAGGTTCGGCCATCTCCCTCAGCCTCGACAAGGGGCTGTGTCTCCCTGTGGAATACCAGGGAGCAGGGTGGTTCCGGAACCCTCTACAACCTTCAACGCTCAAATTTCAGGCAATTGCAACCTCTGTATGAACCCCGTTTTTGGGAAACATACATGACCAACGGCACAAAGAAGGGAGAGTGAGTCCAGTGCACGGTGAATGGTGAGTCAGACAGCGGCACTTCCGGGAGCAGTGGGAGGGCAACTGGTAGTGGTGGGACTGCTGTTGTGAGGAGCACAAGCCAAGTACTAGCGACTACCTCAACCGGGAGCGTGGAGACTCGAAGTGAGAGAAGACTTGAAGCTTTACAGGACAACGTCACCTTTGGGGAGTAGGAGTTTCACTGGTGGTCGTGGGAGCGTTTCCAGTAGTGCAAAGGGACCAGAGCATTAGTCTCGACCGGAGGTCACGATGACACGTAGAGACATTCACTTTATCTACCCTTCCCTGCTTTAGGTATACCGGCTCCTCCTTATCTGAGCCGTTTCTTTGTTCCTTCGAACGTGGAATTACCTTCCCTTCTATAAGCCATTTGTGCCACTCTCTGGGACTTCGAACCTAATCTTGGTTGCTCTTCTCGTTTCCAACGGCCTGTATTCAGTCCCTTTCTATGGCTGGATTCACCCCTTTTTCCTCTCACAAACATGGTAGGCCCATAACTTGCCAATTGCTAGGCTATTAGTATTGCATCGGCTCCTCAAAATTCTTAATCCTGGATAACTCCGACTGCTGCCCCCTCACTGATTGCACGCGTTGTTGCTCATCTCTCGTCCTCGCCTGTTGACATCAGTACGCTGGTTTGTTTGCAACCGAATTCATAGGTCTGTTTCCTATTTCTCCTCTAGCTTGGGCTGTAGTGTAGTTTTCTTCGCGTTTTGCATCTGACCGGATTGACAGACTAGATCCCTGCTCCCCTCCATCTCCAGGCTCTAGTTGTACCACGCTCGCTAGCACACCCCTCTCCGTTGAAGGAACAAAATATTTGTCGGAGGTTGGCTTCACTACAGTGTGAACTTAGAGTGTTGGTGCTCTTTTTGTTGCTTGGCTTCACTACGGTGTGAACTTAGAGTGTTGGTGCTTTTTCTGTTGCTTGGCTTCACTATGGTGTGAATTTAGATTGTTGGTGTTTCTTCTGTTGCTTGGCTTCATTACGGTGTAACTTGGATTATTGGTGTTCGTTCCTTTGCTTGGTCACCTCTAGTTTGTAACACACCTGATAGTTCCTTGCTAAGTTATTCTCCTTTGGTATCTATACTGGGCTTATTCGTAGGAGGCAACGGAACGACTGGAGGTAGTGGGAGACCTACTCGTGGTTGTGGCAGCGTTGCTGAGCTACTTAGGGCATGACCGATTATCATTTAGCTGATAAAAAAGCAAATATGGGTTGTACCCATTGAGATCTAGAGTACCTCGAATACGGTACTCCCTACAGAGTCTCAAGGGTACAAGGTGGGAAACCTCGCCATGACAACCCCGGCTCCACACAGATATTAGCTGATCCGACGGGCCTCTCTTTTGGTTTTGATGGATCTTCCTTCGGATTTCTGTATGTCACCTGCTCCAGATAAAACTCTGTAGTTTGCTTTCAAGTTAGATCATTGGGTATTTGTCGTTTCTTGGCTAGTCACATTAGGCTATGGTCTCCTGCCAATGTAAGCAAGGTCTCTTCATTGGAGGTAGTCCGAGAACTGTCCTCTTTTGTGTAATATCTTTAAGCGAAGCTGGGTAAGGTTCCCAGTCAGAATAGCAGAATAACTGGTTAATTTGCTTAGTGGTTGCCTCTCTTATTTCTGGTTTTGGAATTTGTTAGTCCAGCCGCGATTTTCTTTTTTGGTTGAAGTTGCCATACATGGGACATTGGACCCGGTTTCAAGTAAAGCCTAAACTGGGTATTGGCCCTTGGAATTCCAGGTTGAGATGTTGAGGGATTCTCGGCCTCAGTTCTCCAATTTTCTATAATATAAACTGCGACTTCATAAAAAAAAAAAAAAAAAAAAAAAAAATGCTTTCTGACAGCTGTCGAAGAGATGTGAGTTTTTTTTCTCACGAGGTTGTGTGGCGGTGCCCAACTCTCGAATTTTCGAGATTCGAGTGGTGTGGCGAGGCCCTAAACCCCCGCTACTTGGACTTGCCGCCACGACCAAGTGTGTCCACGTTTAAAAATATTTTTCAATGTGGCCACACTGGGCCGTAGGGGCAAGTCCTAGTAGTGGGGGTTTAGTCTCCCTTTCGAGTATTTTTCAACGCGGTCAGAGTGGGTCGTGAGATGTTCAGATTGGATGGCAGGTACCGGTGCCTTCTCGAAATCAAGTCCAACACCCACTCGAAATAGAGTCTAACGCCCAGTAATCGGACTCGACGTGGGTAATGCTGTTCGCTGAAGGTGGCGAAGTTTGAGGGAGGCACGCCTGGGGGAGGTCCGCCGAGAAAAAACAAACCATCGCCAAACCATTAGCGTGCGATCGATCGATCAATCGATCAATCGAGAGAGAGAGAGAGAGAGAGAGAGAGAGAGAGAGAGAGAGAGAGAGAGAGAGAGAGAGAGAGAGAGAGAGAGAATGTTTCTTGACTAACTAAGATGTAATAGAGAGAGAGAGAGAGAGAGAGAGAGAGAGAGAGAGAGAGAGAGAGAGACGCCACAGGAAAGTTCTGCGCCCCCTCAACTTTTCCCATGCCCATGAAAATACAAGAGCTAATCTCCCACTGATGCCCCACATAACAACCCGTGTGGAAAATTTCCTCTCTCTCTCTCTCTCTCTCTCTCTCTCTCTCTCTCTCTCTCTCTGCCACACGCATGCACAAACTCCATTGCCTGTGCTGCCCTTGGAAAGGAGTGACTACTTTGAAGCTAGATAATTACTATAAAGGCATGAGGACATGTAGGAGTGTCTGGGCAAATAATTATCAAATAACTATCCAACCAGTTTCTCCTTCAAAGTTTATGGCATAGCTACAAAAGAGTGATCTATAGGATAGTTGTAACAAAATTCCTAATCTTGCGTGGTGAGAGGCACGGGTTGGAGAACGAGATGGCAGTCATAGCCGTGCAATCAAATAGAAATTTGTGTTCCAGATCATATTTTAGACGAGCATGTATTCCTTACTTCAATTATGATCCCATCTTTGATTTCCAAAAAGTGAATGACCAACTGCATCAGGAGAACAACATTTTACCTATGAACCTTTGACCTA